TCACTTGATGGTAAGCAACCGGCGCCACCCATGAACACGTGAAACACCAGAGGCGTTACCGGCCTTTTCGGAATTAGGAATTTGAAGATTGTTGGGGGTTCGGGGATTGGGGAGATTGGGGCTCCAGTAACCTGACTTACAGGACGAAACACATAGCAAGTGTGTTACGCGTCGTCGTATTTAATGTAAGATTTTTCATGTAAAATTTAAATACGTACTTGTTTTTTATCTCCTAATAAATAAATAAATCTCAAAAACGAGAAAATGGCACCAAAATTTTATTTAAGTTCCTACTAATATTATAAATGCGAAAGTTTTTTATATGGCATAAGCCGGTAAACGACCAGACGGATCACCTGATGGTAAACAATCGGCGTCGCCTATGGACACCTGGAACACAAGAGGCGTTACAAGTGCGTTACCGTTCTTTTGGGGATTAGGAGTTTGAGGATAGTTGGGGGTTCAGGGATTGCGGAGATTGGGGAAGGGGAGGGTAATTGGGCCTCCGGTAACCTCACTCACACGACGAAACACAACGCAAGCGTTGCTTCACGTCGGGTTTCTGCTCGGCCGTGGTATAGCTCCGGTCGAGCCGGCCCATTCGTGTCGAAGCATGGCTCTCCCACACTTAAAAGTTTGAGAGGATGTAAAATATTTTTTTACATCAGTCAAGCTACAATCACCCTTTCAAAATGTTATTAAAGGTTTAAAAAAAACATGTTTATCTTAACAATTTCAGCTCACACAAGAAAACTTATTTTCACAATACGACTATGAATAGTGTAGTTCCTTCTTTATAATTTTAAATGTTATCCAATATAGTGTAAATATTCGAAAAGACAACGAGTACAAACTCGATTATATTTACATATTTACTATTTATTTATTAGTAGTAGATATAGTCCGCGACACGAGACATGGTAAGAATTTATTTTTATGATAAATATCTTGAGACATGCTGAATGGGGTACTTGCCAATTGGTCAAATTCAATACTTTTTTCGAACTGTCAAAAGTGACAGTTTTGTATGAATTTTGTACGAGATTGTGTATTGTGACGTCACGTTTTTTAGCATCAAACAGCATACTTATTTCTTAATAATTTGCTGGAAAAATACTAAAATTAAGTTGGTCGTAAAATCAATTAATTAAAGTGTGATTATTTTTTAATATTTCTTTGTATTGAACAGTCGAAATAATTTATTTTTGATCAAGGCAAGTACTTAACTAAAAATTACGAGTTGCTTAGGTACGTAAATTATTGAGGAAGAATATTTTTGTGACTTTGAAACTATTTACCACCGTAGACAGAGAATAGAGGTAGACATGCTCTTATATGCGAGAGTGAGATGACACGTGTCAAAATGTGTATGTGTAAGCAGGACATCGCATTTATTTGACTCTATTTGCGTTTCGTTTTTTTGTTATTTGCCATCACAGTCATTGATGGCAAACGAACTGTGGTGTCAGAATATTTTCGTTGAATTGGGATGATGACAGGGTATGAAAATTAAAAATCTAATTAGTCCGTAAGTTAGGTAATGAAAAAAATATTAGACACGTATTTTTTTTGTCGTATAATAAAATAATAATTCTATAAAACGAATCAAAGTTTAGGAGTGGGGGCTAAAACGTCATTTCTACGTATAAAATGTGCATAGATGTGACGTCACGCGACATTTCAAATCAATATATCGTAATTTTTATTTTAATGTCTGTCGGGTAGATTATTTAAAAATATTAGACAAGTATTTTTTATTTTCTTACAGAAACGAATAGTTTCGAAGATATATTAGAAAAAAATAAATAGTGCCTAGTTATTATTATGTAATTTATACTTTTGGTAATAATTATAGATGTAGTTAATTGTAGTGTGTAACTAGGTTCCCTCTATACTTTATAGAAATTGACAAGATGTATTATAATAAAAAAAAAATGTATGACAAGGGCACGGACCTAGAGTCCGTGGAGAATTAATCTATAATATTATAAAAAAAAAGATATATTGATTTAAAATATCTCATAAAATCACTTTTGAGTACGATTTATACTCTAAAATAGCTACCTCCCACTCCTAAACTTTGATTCGATTTATCTGAGTATTGTTTTCTTATACCTACGACAATTTAAAAAAAATACGTGTGTAATATTTTTTCATTACCTAACTGACAGACTAATTAGATTTTTAATTCTAATACCCTGTCATCATCATTATTGTTGTATATATGACTGTAAAAGTTGTAGTGAACGAAATGAACTATTAAACATAAGCGTACTTATGTTAAACTGCAATGACTGCACGATTGCGGTGGCTGGGCAACCGGCTGCCGCGCAACGTGTCGCGGGTTTGATTCCCGCACGGAACAACACTTTGTGTGATCCACAAATTATTGTTTCGGGTCTGGGTGTCATTGTGTACGTGAACTTGTATGTTTGTTGACGCACCCACGACACAGGAGAAAATCCTAATGTGGGGCAACGTGTTAAAAGAACAACTATCGCTATCTCAAACTGCATACGCTGAGGACTTGTCTACCTCTTTTCTGTCTACGTTTACTACATACTTTTCTCAGTATTTTTATACTCGAAATTTTAATTCGATTCCAGATTTGACAATTTCAGTGTTGCAACGTTATGACAAGTACTAAATAGTGACGTTGCGAAATTATTCGATATGGAAATTCAATATTTCTGGATCGATTCTTCCTTGTTTATAATTTTACTCTCGTAAACTAAGTATATCAGGAAATTAAATATTTCTGAACCGATAATTTAGTTTTGACGATTCATTAACGATCTGAGACTTTTCTTTTATAATTGTGTGTGAGTAATAAATAAAAAAATGTAATCATGAAAGAACATGACAAATAAAACAGATAGATGTATTATGGTAGTAAGTTATTTTATAAATTGTCGCCGTCATGGCTATCGCTATCCTGTCACTTTCTGTAACATTTATTATAAAACACACACACTGATTGTTTATCGATTTTTGTGTGCATCACTACACTATTATATGTGGTATCATTATTTCACAAAATGACAGTAGCTATTGTCAAATCTGGAATCTAATTAGAATTCTGATTATAAGTGAGTAATTTGTCATTTATATCATTTATGGTAAGTCTTTACCGTGGCGAGCATTCGCGTGTTGTGTATTTCCATACAATTCTATGGTTATTGTCGTCGTTCAGTTGCAATAATATTTATTTAGTATAAACTTAACGTAAGAATAAGATAAAAACACCGACTTCAAGTTCCTTTTTTTAACCCTTTGTTTTACCGTCATTATAGACACAATTAAAGAACAATAGGTTGCGGTCACCGGTGTCCTCGCGGTGTTTGACAGTTTAAGCCGGTTATTACTGAATAAATACGATAAAACCAGCTAATAAATGTAACAAACACATTTCAGGAACCGGATTAAAATCGATACAGCTAATCATGAGATATTCGCGGACAATCATACAAACTGAAAACTTTATTTCTTTAAGACGTTTAAAATATAAATGATGGCATTAACCATAGAACTACGTGAAAATACTTGCGTACCGGGTATTATACATAATAGTGATATAATATTATAACCACAAATTATTTACTTCGAACATATAAATTATATGGACAGAAACATTAGATTACATTTTTATGTGATAGGCATACGAAAAGGCGGATCACCTGATGGTAAGCAATCGACACTGCCCATAGACACCCACTACATTAGAGGAATTACAAATGCGCTACCATTTTCAAAGGAATTCGAGGAGTGCTCGACTAGTTTCGGACAACGACAGGGGCCCATAATCTTGTCAGGCGTAAGAAGTTACGACTGACTTAGAGACGTTTTTAAGCCAGTTACCAGAAACTAACGTGGCAACCTCCTCACATATTGCACAGTATCGTAAATAATTGTATTTTCAGTTAGAGACAAAGACACCTTAAAATAAACTTTATTCCAACAATATTAAAGTTCTGTTTGCTTTCTGGGCTCTTATTTGTCAGCCCCAATACATTGTACAAACTCAAAAACAATTTTGTTTTAATGACATTAAAGTTCATATTAACATACCACCTAGTTAGCTGCTATGGGGTGTAAATAGTGACGTGGAGTGTTCGTTAGCCCCACGTGGGGTCGTACTTGTTCCACTCGAAAGAGGGCGCGAGATATACTCGACGTCCTCTTATGAAACACGTCACTATTCCTCTGTAGGCTGTGCGAGGGACTCCACTCTGAAATTAGGTAAAAAAAAATATATCATAACATAACATTACGCCTTTTATCCCCGAAGGGGTAGGCAGAGGTGCACATTACGGCACTTAATGCCACTGTACAATGTAACACCCACTTTTCACCATTTATATTATGAGTCCCAGGTAATAGGGGGTGCGCCTATTGCCATATACCGGGCACAGTTCCAGACTCCGGTGTTATTACTGAGATTTTATTTAAAAACCCAGTAATACTTTGCCCGACCCAGGAATCGAACCCGAGACCCCTTGCCCGGCAGTCGCACTTACCGGCCAACGAGGCAGTCAAAAATATAACATTTTAAATAATATTCATCATCATTAGCATGTAACTGTCCCACTGCTGATCAAACGTCTCTTCTCGCAAGAAGAAGATATGATCATTAATCACCACGCTTGCTAAATGCTGGATGGCGATTTCAAACTTATAAGTTGAAATTAAAATGGTAAAGGAAAACATCGTGAGTTAACCTGGGCTTATAATTTCTGATTATAAGTTTGAAATCGCCAACTCGCATTGAGTAAGCGTGGCGATTAATGCTCAAACCTTCTCCGTGTGAGAAGAGGCCTTTGGTTAGCAGTGGGCATTTATAGGCTGTTGATGTGTTGATGTAAATTAGAAATTATAAACCCAGGTTTCCTCACGATGTTTTCCTTCACCGTTTGTCAGTGGTGTCTAAATAATCTTAGAAAGTACATACACATCGGAAGAACATAATTACATTTACATTTTACTGTGTATAACCAACGTACCCTAAAATCATCCATGAGTCCCAGTTTCTTAGCGGCGCGTTGGTAGGTTTTGGCGTTGCTGTACATGACCCGCACGGGATCCGAACTCAGGTCCGAGCTGGCCACTACCTCACTCGCGGACATTTCGGGCAGGTTGTATACTGTCGATGCAAGGGTGTCATCGTAGTGATCCTGTGAAAATAAATGAATACTAGATTAATTGTTTTTTAAATGAGCAAACGAATCACTTGATGGCAATCAATCGGCGCCGCCCATGAAGACATGAAACATCTGTGGAGATACAAGCTCGTTGCCTGCCTTTTGAGGAGCCTAAATCTGTACAGAGAAATAAAATTGGAGTGTCTGATTGTAATATTAACCCATTTGGGCCCGCCGTCCCCATATGGGGACAGGTTTTCTTTTACCCGCTGGTTATTAATTATTTTAGCTATCTTCACATTTCATGGGTATTTATAATGAGGAGTAGTGTACTTTCCTAAAATTATTATAACTTTTGACAAATTGCTACAAAAAAGGGGTCATATTGTCAATTTTATCAAGAGGAAGTGAAATGGGAATTATTATTACAAGCAGAGGCGTTTTGTAGTACGTTATTATGAAGATTTATAAAACTTTTTGTGATTATTGCTTGCTTATAGTGTCAATTAAAACAATATTGAAGAATATCCTTATACTTTCAATTCCACTTAGGGGAAACTTAGAAAGAATGATGGTGTCCCCGTATGGGGACAATGGGCACATCTGTAGTATATTTTTAAAACATTTATACCTGATTTGTATTTTGTTTTCCAATTTATAAAGGTCACCTATAGGCTAAACTTACTTATAACTAATACTTGGTGACAACAGACGCTAATTCACGAAGAGCATCACCAATTCCCACATATCTTTACGCGTTCATATTCTAAAATCTGATGGGCATCAAGACCGAAGATGCAAAAGTCCACCTACAGTACCAGGCGTCGCATCCGATATCAGAATTCAGCAGTAGGGGGCATTTCCTCCAGCTTTATTCTGGTGTCATCACAGCGAAGTCCACCCAGAGGATAGAGTAGCATTATGCCCTGTATACGTTGACCACCGCCGTGTCTTCAGGGAAGTGATCGACGACGATAATATTCCACGTCCAGCTTAGGTTCTGGCTGTGGTGCGGAGCGAGGGGAACTGGAAAACATCTCTTTCTGCGAAGCAGTCATAGTAGCAAGAACAGATCGCCGCCCAGAACCAGACCTGTACCTGTAAGGTGCGTGGCGTTACGCGCGTGCTTCAAAGTGCAGATCAGACCGCCTTAGATCGAGATGGCTCAGTGGGACAGATGCCCGACTACTATGAATAACCTAGTGGGTCACCGGGGCTTCGGCTTGAAGCAGAATTAGGAACGTGTTGGTTTTTAGCCAGTAAGAGTCCCCCAGGCGGAAACCGCAATGCATGATTTTTACCCTCAAAAAAAATTTAGGCGCGTCACATCAAATTGATTTAGACATTTTCCGCAGAGATTTAGTTAATATCTGTTACGATACGCAGTTCGTCATAAAAAAACTGTGATATCAATGCAAATAATGCGTTAGAACCTTATGTGTCGAAAACAGTTACTACTTCGAAAAGTACTACACATGAGCCCATTGTCCCCAATCAAGGACGGCATTTTTTTTAATACTTCTAAAAATATTTTTTGTATTTTTTTTGCTGATATTAGTTTGTGGGCGTCATATCATTGAGTTAATAAAGTTTTTTTTATTAAATTATGTGTAGTTTGCATTTGGTCCCAAATGGGTTAAAATAACCGCTTTTTATTACATGCACAATATTTGTCTGTCTGTCTATTTGTACTGACTAATCTCTGGAATGGCTGGTTAGATTATGACGGGACTTTTATTGGCAGGTAGCTGATGTAGTAAGGGATCGTTCATAAATTACGTCACACGTTAAGGGGTAGGGAGGGGGTCGACGAAGTGTGACGTAGTGTGACAAGGGGGAGGGAGGGATCCCATACTTTGTGATGTCACATTTCAAAACCTAATATAAACACGAAATATGATTGTATTAATGTTTTTTATTTTGCTTGGTTTGGTGTTAATATTTTGTAAAGCAATTTAAATAGAAATAAAACTGATTTCGGAACCGCTGTTTTCATTCAATAGTTTTTATACATACCTACGTAATTCTGCAAAATGTGACGTCACACTTGGGCCTCACAAATATGATTAGCTGTGGACAAGGACGGGGGAGCGGCAAAAGTCATGAAATTCGTGTGACGTAATTTATGGATGACCCCTAAGGAGTAATATAGGCTACTTTTATTTAGGAAAATTGAAATAAAAAGTTATGTCCTAAAATTCATATTCTACACGAAGTCGCAGGTAACAGCTAGTTGTATACTATAGTTAAATTTTGCGCAAACTTTGAAGTTTAAGGTTACAGCGCAAAACGTCGTGCGCTAAACTCAAACCATTTTGTTGCGCAATGCGCTTCAATGTTTGCGCAAACTTACTGAGTTATTCTCATTACATTTTGACCATACACAAGTAACAGAGATATTGAAATGACCTTTAATTTTTTTATGTCATAAGCCGGTAAACGAGCAGACGGATCACCTGATGGTAAGGAATCGGCGTCGCTCATGAACACATGCACTTGCAACACCTCTGGTGTTCCAAACACCAGAGGTGTTGCAAGTGCGTTACCGGTCTTTTAGGGATTAGGAGTTTGAGGATGATTGGGGATTCAGGAATTGGGGAGATTGGGGAAGGGGAGGGTAATTGGGCCTCCGGTAACCTCACTTACACGACGAAACACAACGCAAGCGTTGCTTTACGTCGGTTTTCTATGAGGCCATGGTATCACTTCGGTCGAGCCGGCCCATTCGTGCCGAAGCATGGCTCTCCCACACTTTAATAACAATTTAACTATAAATATGTTGTCTGTAAGAGATCGCCTTGTGCGATAAGACCGCCCATTGTGCACTATATTAATTGTTGTTTGTCCTATGTGTTTATGTGGTGTACAATAAAGAATATTATTATTATTATGTTAAAAATTATAATACTAGTATTACCTTGAGCAAGTACGTAAGGTTGAGTTTGGTGAACTCCACGTATTCCATGTTGAGCTGTATGTTCCTGAGGTGGAGGTCGAAGAACAGACCTTTACTTACACCCACCTGTAAAAATAAAAACAGTAAATAAGATCCAAGTAAATCTATGGGCTATTTATGTATAAATTATTATTATATATATTATATAATTTGACTGCACAGTTGGTGCGGTGGCTGGGCAACCGGCTGCCGTGCAACGTGTCGCGGGTTCGATTCCCGCACGGGATAACACTTTGTGTGATCCACAAATTGTTGTTCCGGGTCTGGGTGTCATTGTGTATGTAAACTTGTATGTTTGTAAACGCACCCACGACACAGGAGAAAATCCTAGTGTGGGGCAACGTTTTTTTTTAAAAAAAAAAACAAAGACAAATAGTGATTTCGGAGATGTCCGATTAGTTTCGAACAACACTGGGGCTCTTTAATAAAGGCGTGCAGTGACATCACATGTAATGCATACTGTTACAAGTTTCATTAACCCCACAGACCAATAACTGAACACTGAACAATAGACCATATTGCGTTTCGGTACACCACAAATTATTATTGCATTCTCATAGATACTTCTTTTATAATATGTGGTTATAATATGTATGTCATACTGAGAGTATGTAACTCTTATAAGTCTAATAATTAAGGTAAAATTTTTATTAATTAAGTTACATGTTGGACTTAAATGTGTCAGGAAATGTGATATTGTATTGGAATAAACTGTAAGATGTCATATTGTAAGGTGTTGTAATAATAAATAAATAAATAAATAAATAAATAAATTTATTCGCGTTAGTCGTATAATTCAATTAAACTGTCAAACACTGCAAAGACACCGGTGACCGCAACCTATTGTTCTTTAATAGGCGTGTCGACAGGGTAAAAAAACCAAAAAAGTAATTAGTCCGTCATTAAGATCGCACGAAAATATCAGACACGCATTTTTTGTTTTATCAAATTAACAGAAGAATACGTAGTTATTCCGCATTAAAGTTAGGGAGTGGGGGGTGTTGACGTCACACTTACGGAGAAATCGTACCTAATTGTGACGTCACGCGTCATTTTAACTCAAAATATCTACATGTTTTTTTGGATACGAGAAAAAAGAAAAAATACGTATCAAAGATTTATAAAATATCTAAAAGACGGACAAAAATTTAAAAAATAGTCACCATGCCTATTGTCTATAATGACGGTACTCAAAGGGTTAATTTGCTTACCTTTCCAAAGGAATATGTCCTGGATATCTCAGGCCTGATGCAGGCCTTACCATCAATGTTCACTGGGTTACGCAGCCAGTCGTCAAAGAAACTGAAATAAAACCACAACTCAGACACATCACATAATATCACGCCTTTTATCCCCGAAGGGGTAGGCAGAGGTGCACATTATGCCACTGTACAATGTTATGAGTCCCATGTAATAGGGGGTGAGCCTATTGCCATATACCGGGCACAATTCCAGACTTCGTGCTACTACTAAGAATTTTTTTTAAACCCAGTAATACTTTGCCCGACCCGGGAATCGAACCCGAGAGCCCTTGCCCGGCAGTCGCACTTGCGACCACTCGGCCAACGAGGCAGTCAGACAACTCAGACATTATTGAATTATTCTCGTGCGGAGTTCTCTCCCTCCCATGCTTTCCCGGAGTTCAGTCCTCCGCGACTCCGTATTGGCATCGGCCCTATTGGGCCCCATCCGTGGTAGCCTGATGGCTCTTTGAAGCGCGCGCGGAACGCTACGCGCCGTACGCTCGATTGATAAGGTAGGATGGGGTTGACGTATTCATATGGACAAAAACCCCTTAAAAACCATAAAGGAGGGAAAAAAGAATGTATGAAACTAAATAAAAGTTAACTAAAAATCGCGGGATACTCACGTGAATATACTGAGAAAAGCTCTACTAGTTTCGAACCACAGAGGGGTTCTTCCTCATGAGCAGCGTGCGCGGTTGCGGCGATGTAGACTGCGCGATATCGCCGCGATTTTTAGTTAATTTAGTATGTCTCACGATAGTTATTATAAAAACATAAATAAAAGCTTGTAAAAGATGAGGGTTCACTCACGCAGTCGGCCATTTTGGAGCCAGTTTGAGCCACATCTCCTTCCGCAGCACCCAACCGAGGCCGGGGAAGAAGTCGGTGCGATGCAACAAGTCAGGACGAGATATGTCTATCACTTCCATCTTGCCGTTGTCGTTCCATGCTGATATGCACCTGGAGACAAAAATGTATAATTGATTAAGTGAAATTTTCAACAGCAATTTTCACATGTCAGCCGGCACGAACTGATACCACAGCCTCACAGAAAATAAATGTGAAAAAATCTTAGTTGGGTTTCGCCGTTTAATTGAGGTTACTGGAGCCTCCCCCCTCCCCTAAAGTCGGCAGCGGAGAGTTTTTTCTTATTTGGTGGATTGACGTTTGACCACCATCTCGCCTGGTGGTAAGCGATGATACGATGGAGCACGTCGTCCCATAAGCAACCTATTCACTCGGGCCTTGAAGATGCTTGGCCTTAAAGGCTTCGAGTGACATATTATGTAAATTGTAATGAGTTTTTTTTTTATTTTAATACTCACCACAACGATGGATCTTTGAGTAGAAGAGGATAAGTGCCGAGGAAATACTCGAAGAAGTCTGGAGATATGTCCAGGTCATCTGGAAATAATGAAACACAATTATTATCACACTTGGTAGATAGGTAGATGATTGTAAAATAGTCTTGTGAGCTATTTACAGTCAGTGTAGTTATTTAGTAACATAGATTTAATACTCGTGAAAGCTTTTTTAAATACGTTGCCCCACACTTGAATTTTCTCCTGTGTCGTGGGGTGCTTTAACAAACATACAAGTTCACGTACACATGACACCCAGACAATCTGTGGATCAGATAGAGTTGGTTGGTTACATTTTTAAGAGGTTTAGAAATGGTTTTTGTGTGTGATAAGAGGCTATTTCTCAGCATTGAGATAGTTACAGTCTGATTATAATGATTTCGGCCGGTTGGGCGTAGATATTTCTCAAAACTAATCAGCAATATTTGTTTGTACTATGTTGAGCGATATAGTCAGCTATTCGTCGGCAAGAAAGTATCGACTAAATTGGACGGTTCAAGGCGCTGTTAAGAACAGAAGGGGAGGAGTCCCAGTAGGACTGATGCCCGACCCGGAGCTGCGGGTAGCCTAACGGGTTACAGTTCAGTACAGTAAGAGTCTAATACTTCCAAGGTCATTGCATGAGTTTCCTGCCTCAAAAAAAGGCTCTATCAGGACAACGCAGGTCTAAAATTACCTATGTTATTCAATTGTAATTTTAATTACCATCTTAATTAGCCATACTAGAGCATAACAAATTACTATAGAAGTCTACCATTATTGTTTTACACGCAAATGTAAATTTCTTCAACCATTACTAATATCATTTATGGTGCAGACGCTGCTTCATTGGGTATAACGAAACATACCTAAATTAACATAGTCACTCTTGATTCGCTACGGAGTGATAGGCAGAGGTGTCAAATTGATTATTTCAGAAGCCACGTATCGTATCGTGAGGAGTCGTGGTGGCCCGGAGGTTTAAGACGCCCACTTCTCATGCATGAGGGTGCGGGTTCGAAACCTACCAACGGCAAGTACCAATGTGACTTTTTCCGAGTTATTATGTACTTTCTAAGATTATTTAGGCACCACTGACAAACGGTGAAGGAAAAACGTTCCGTGTGAGAAGAGGCTTTGCTCAGCAGTGGGCATTTATAGGCTGTTGATGATGATGTATCGTATCGTAGCTACACACAGATATAGCACAGTATACACAGACGTAGGCAGAACGACTGGAAATCGACGGGTATCCGCGTACTGCGGGATGACGAACCGCTTACATGACAGCACAATTTTTTTCTTCTTCTCCTTTTATAATATCTTCTGATTCACTCCGTTGTGGGAACCAAGACAGTTATTCATGTCCCTGGGACGCGCCGGACTTCAGTGTTCCGGTGTTTTGTTTTGTCTTTAGTTTTTGAAATCGGTTTTTTTTAAACGCAGTTTTTTAATTTAATTAGAAAGCGGTGTTACCCGGTCTTTTTTATTTAAATACTAGCTTTTACCCGCGGCTTCGCCCGCGTCACAAAAGGATAAAAAGCCAATGTGACATATACCATTACACACAGCGCCATCTATACCAATACTTTTGTTTTCCCTCGGGAATATCAAATTTTTCCGAGATAAAAAGTACCCTATTATTTAATACGGACTTCTAACTATACATCTGCAAAAATTCAAAGCAATCGGTTTAGTAGTTATGGCGTGAAAGCGGAACAAACAAACAAACAAACAAACTCACTTTCCGATTTATAATATTAGTAATTAGTAAAGATAGTAAAGATAGAAAAGTTCCTTAGTCGGCTCTTACGAAACCAGCGTGCAGGCTACGGTGGTAACAAACCTAATGTCCGTCACCACACGGGCATAATTCTAAAGTGCAATAAAACTAGAAGTCCCTTATAACTATCAGCTATATAACAATGGGTATAGAGTATAATATACTGTGAACTAACTACGCTAATGATTCGCCAAGGCCATTTTGTGTTTGCATCGCTATGTGAATGCTATTGTCATGACATTCAGTAATCACTGATGTTGTAGAGTTCATAATAACATCACGCCTTTTATCCCCGAAGGCCCGAAGGGGTAGTAGGAGAGGTGTACATTATGCTACTGTACAATGTAACACCCACTTTTCACTATTTATGTTATGAGTCCCATGTAATAGGGGGTGAGTCTATTGTCATATACCGGGCACAATAACAGACTCCGTGCTACTACTGAGAAGGTTCAAAAAACCCAGTAACATTACTTTGCCCGACCCGGGAATCGAACCCGAGACCGTTTCCCTCATTGCGCCACATTGCAATACAACGATTTGAATGCTGACAAAGTGACCTCAATTCTTTTATACCTAATAATATTCACTGAACAATAAACTGTAGTTGACAAATTGCATTTGGCCCGGATTAGCATCATACCTACTTTGTAGCTTTTAGAAATAAACTATTTGTAGTGCTCAACCGTGGTTTTACTATCGCTGAGCCATACAGAAGTGATAAGTAATGTATTCTAGTCTGCCTGCACCTCGAGATTATTTATAAATACTTTATTGTATTGAAAAAGTTAGAACAATTTGTTTTTGACTGAATAAACTATCGAATTGAGGGGTGGGTCTAATGCAAAAACCTATTTATTATTCTATCCAACTGATACGGTGGAATGTTGTGAATGTTACTGTCTACTGATGCCGTCAATATCAATTTTCGTTTTAATTTCACAATTTTGTTACTAATCGGCGTTTACTCAATTTGGTTTCGGTAATTTTTAATAGGAATGATGACAGGGTATGGAAATTAGAAGTCTAATTAGTCCGTAAGTTAGGTCATGAAAAAACATTAGACACGTAATTTTTTATTTGGTCGTATAATAAAACAATACTAAGATAAAACGAATCAAAGTTTAGGAGTGGGGGCTAAAACGTCATTTCTACGTATAAAATGTGCATAGAAGTGACGTCACGCGACATTTCAAATCAATATATCGTCAAAGTATTCGTTTCTGTACGAAAATAAAAAATACGTGTCTAATAATTTGAAATAATCTACCAGACGGACATTAAAATAAAAATTAGGCACCGTATTCTATATTAAATAATGAAAAACTGTTTGCTTTCGCCGTTTCGCCATATAGGCGGTAAAAGAACCTGGGGAGTGCCAAATGCGTTGCCGTCCCATTGGGGGTTAGAGATTAGTACTTATACTGCCAACCCACATTGAGCAAGCGTAGTGATTATTGCTCAAACCTTCTTTGTGTGAGAAGAAGCCCTTGCTCAGCAGTAGCCACTTATAGGCTGGTGATGATGCTGACGTATACTAACCTTCGACAATAATAACAGCTTCATGTCCCAGAGTCTCGAACACGTGGTTTAGCGCGAACTTGTAATGCCTGGCAATCTTGTAGTAGCCTCGAAACTTCACTTTGACGCGCGGCAGGACGATCTTCGACAAGTCCGGTTGTCGCACGACCGATATCGTCGGGTCGGACGCTGTGTAGGACGTTATCACCTCGTAGGTCGCGTTGTGGCCGCAATCCTGGAAAAAAGGAAAATATTCTACAATGTTTTGTTAACACATTCACATTACGTCAGTTATTTTAACCCCTAGAGCGTCCTTGTGAGCACCCGGTGGATCATAAGAAAAAATGCTCAATGCTGCTTTCTCTTTTATAAAATCTATTATTAATGTTTTGTTTTTATTTTGACTGTATTTTTTATTTCTATTGTAATGATCCTTGTTTTCGTGTGCCAATGGCCAAATAAATGCATTTTCTTTCTTTATTTCTTTCTTTCTCCAAATGTCATGTGTGCACCCGTTGGATCATAAGGAACGCGGACGCTCGACGGGTTAAAAAACTTCTGTGTAATACAGGATGATCCCATTGCCATTATTACATATACTTAGTCAAATGAATTATTTCAGATTTTTTCCATACGACGGGAATAATTCTGAACTCCATATTTCAGCGGAATCGGGGACCAAACTGGACACCATTCGTTCAGCAGACGCAGCGTGCGCCCACTAAACTATTATCATCATCATCATATCAGCCATAGGACGTCCACTGCTGAACATAGGCCTCCCCCAATGACTACCAGACAGGCCGGTTGGAAGCGACCTGGATCCAGCAGCTCCCTGCGACCTTAAGTAGGTCCTCTGTCCACCTTGCGGATGGATGTCATACGCTGAGCTTGCCCAGTGGATTAGCAAGTTGAAGTGGCAGTGGGCAGGGCCCATAGCGCGGAGAACCAACGGCCACTGGGGCAAGGTTCTCGAGTGGAAGCCACTAAACCAACGGCAGCCTAAATCTAATATTAAGACAGGTGTTCTTTTAAATATTTCAAGTCCATAATAATTCCATATTTGTTAGCGACAATGAAATTCTTAACAAATAGCTAATACTTTAATCAGTCGGTATTTTCAATGACAAAGATAATGAACAGACACTTCATAATATTATGTATGCCATTTTAATTATTTAATAGCCTATTTGATTCATTAAGACTGCCTTATTGTTAGTTAAAAATCTCAAAGATGTATTTCAATAGGCACTATCAGAGCCTCAAACATTGAATACTCCGTTGGTCTGTTCATCAGTAAAGCTAGGTGCTCGTACCAAAATGTAGATACGTACGGAGAAAAACGAGCAAGAGACTTCATCGTAAATATACTGTTACACATCCGAAATAACATGCTTTTTTTAAGGGGGAAAATCATCGAATGACTTCTCCCGTCCGGGTGATGCAAAAGGGTGTGTCAGACTCGTACTGACTAAGAACCACCCTGTTCCTACTCCAGCACTACGAACCGGAGCCCCGGCAACCCGTTGAGCCCTCCGAGGCTTCGTATCGCCAGCAGTCCATCAGTCATAAAATACAATGCTAAAAAACGTTACATTGAGCATGCTCAAAAATGCAACGTCTGTTGATTCGCAAGCATGCCCTGAAATGAGCATGCTTATTTTGAACATCATTAAATTGAAGCATGATTTCGTGCTTGAAATTGGCATGTGTATGGTACCTAGTATAGTACCTTTAGTAATTTATGTAACTGATTGGATGAGAAGAGCTAATGATCGAGCTCAGTAGCGTGCTGTGGAAGAGGCCTATGTCCAACAGTTTACGAAAGCGTTTCATAACAACTTTTTTAATTAAGAAAGCAATGCAGCAACGTTGAGGCCTACTGTCCGCGTTGAGATTAACGTAAAAACCGACTTCAAAAAAAATCTAAAAAAAATAACTATTTTTAGTCATACGCACTGATAATTTACTCACACACTGATAGGTAAGAAGTTGGGACCTTACAAACAAAAGAAGAAATATGAAAATCGGTCCACAATAAGCGGAATAATCGGTGAAGATAGTACCTCCTCCTTTTTTTGTAGCCGTTACACACGATAGGGGGATATGTCGCTACCGCTTCGTGGACAGTTTTTATTGTTTCTTTTTTTCATACTTGATAGGTCGACGTTTGGCCTCCATCTCGCCTGGCGGTAAGCGATGATGTGGCCGACGATGGAGCACGCCTACCTATGAGCAATCTTTTCACTCGGGACTTGAAGACACCCAAGTTATATTTATATAGGGAAACAGATTCCGGCAAGGAATTCCATTCATTAGCGGTTCGCACAAGAAGTTTGAATGGGCGGAATGTCCACCATATAAGGGCCACCCTGGCCCTGTCTTTCGTCTGGTGGTTTCTAAGCAAGATGCAATCATTTGTCATTTGTAGTGAAGATTTTTATTTTTTATTCAATATAAGTAAAGGTACAACAAATACTTGCTATGTCATGCTTGGGTTATAGTGTACCTATATGTTAAGGAAAAATGTTATGATATAATTAAAATTGTTTGTACAATGAGCGTCTCTCGCCATCAAACGTCAAAGTTTGGCGAGTTTAGATTTAAGGCCATACCTATGTAAAATTGCAAGGAATAAATTTGTTAAAAAAAAAAGAATGCATGCATTTGTCAAATGACGCAACGTGGACAGTTCCGCAATTTTTTTTTTAAGGGGGAAAATCATCGAATTACTGTTCCCGCCTGGGTGAGGCGGGAGGGAGTGTCAGACTCTTACTGACTAAAAACCACCCCGTTCCTTCTCCTGCACGTCCAGCCGGAGCCCCGGTTACCCATTAGGTTCTCCGCGACTCCGAATCGGCATCGGCCCTATTGGGCCCCATCTGTGGTGGTCTGATGGCTGTGGACAGTTACGCTAAGATCTTATCTAGTGTCGTGGATACATTTACAAACATACCTATACTAATAATATTTGGTAAAGTGTCGGACAGACACCACTATCAAACTAGACATAAGAATAGATTAAGTCAGCCAATTTCGAGATTAGCGAAAGTAAGTAAGTCGTTCATAGGATTCTGTGTTAAATGTTATAATAAGATACCAGGCGATGTACAACAACTAAATGAATCGAAATTTAAATTATGTATAAAGAAAACTTTATGTAGACAAGCATATTACAAACTTAATGAATATATAGAGGATAAAAATGCTTGGATGCAGGCTAGTCCGGCTCCACAGGATAACTAAAAACACTTGTTTTAATGAAATCGTAAATAATACAGCCATATTGCTAAATCGTATATTGTTTAACTTAGATAGCCATTGTAAATGTGAGAGCCCTGTAATTAATATTAAATTAGATTAGTAGATTTCATTTGTGTCAGCTTGGAGTTGTCATGCTCACTCAAAGGTCTCATTGGCGGTGGCGCGTGCAGTGGATCGCTCGATTCCCTACAATATGGTTGAGTTGGGCGGTGCTGGTGTACGTGTCATGTTCGTGAACGGGCGCCGTCAATTGGGACTGGTCAGCTCCAGACTGTATTACTGTCCTTAAGGTTATTTTCTTTTTTGATCACTTTGACAGGATTTTAGTGTTACATTGTTCTCGCACAATCCAAACAGCAAAACTATGTAACTAGTAAATTGTATTGTGAACCTGATTGAAAAAGAGTAACCTATGGAGTTTCTTGCTCGTTCTTCTCCATAGGAATCTACGCCTTGGAATGAGCAAATAGCTTCACTTTCAATTTTTGTTTTTGTTGACGTTCAAAAGTGCCATTCTGGCCTAATTGAAATAAATGATTTTGACTTTGAATACTAATTCAATATTATAATACATAATATTATCATATCACTTGTTAACCAATCTTATATCCGTCACACGGGTATTAATATCCGTGTATACATGTATCTTTGTGCAAAATTTTATCTAAAGGGATACAGTAGTTTAGAATGTGTTAAATAGGAACTGATATCTTATTACTAATTTGATAATGAGATTATGTTCATTGCCTACTAGTAAGGAATTTCATTAATAATACATAATTATGTACTGTTTGTCTGTCTGGTCGGTCGAGTTTCCTGCTTTCCGAATGTAGCATCCTTTCTGTAGTAAAGTTTTACAAACCTAGACCTTTTCAATTATTTTTTATAAGAATCATATACGATACAAGGCAATATGCCATGCCATCGATGTCTTATGGGTATGAATGACGTCATTGGGCCATACTAGGTCTTTTTTTTAAGGGGGAAAATCATCGAATGACTGCTTCCGACTGGGTGAGGAAAAATTGGACAATTCGCACGAATTTAACTCGCACAAAACGTGCGAATCGACTCCTTTAAAACATATTATTTTTTCTGTAGTCGATTCGCACGAATCTCTTTTATTGGCGTGCGAATCGACACCCTCACAAATATGTAGATGAAATGGCGCTAAGTTTGGTCGTTACGTATAACGTGCTACAATATGTGGCACGCTGTGACGTCACACGATATTTCAAATTAATATATATCGTCGAAATTATTTAATTTTATGAGAAAAAAAAATACGTGTCTAAAGTTTTAAATTAATGTACCAGACGGACATTAAAATAAAATTTAGGAAATTATCCTATTGTGCCTGGTATATATCAATAGGCTCACCCCTTATTACATGGGACTTACAAATAGTAAAAATGTGGGTGTTACATTATACAGTAGCATTAAGCGCCGTAAGGTGCACCTCTGCCTACCGCTTAGGGATAAAAAGTGTGATGTTATGTTATGGTGCTACTAAGCCACGCGCTCCTTATTTAACTTCATCTAAAAAATGTGTACTAACTGTTAATAAAATGTCTATCATGACTGGTATTCCTTATCGCTTGTTAGCCTGTAGGTAAACCGTGTATAATTGCGCCTGATAACTGTAATCACCTCATGGACATGCTGATGTAGGTAAATGTTTCACGATAATATAACTTTTGAGTGTTCAATACAAATGCTGAAGCATGCGATGTGTATCTAGCAGAGACCGCGCTCGACGCTCTGATTGGTTGGTTTATTGGACCCGGCCAATCAGAGGCCAGAGGCCTTAGTACGAGTTTGTTTTACGTTTAAAGTATTCGAAACGAGTATGCGTTCGGCGCTGCGATTGGCCGGCTCCAATGAACCAACCAATCAGAGGGCTGGACGCGGTCTCGTTTCGATTATTTTAAACGAAAAAGAAACTCGTACTAAGCCCTCTGAGTACGAGTT